GTGAGTCTCTTTCATTATATAAAAGTTTTAGGCTGGGTACAGTGGCTCACACCTGTAATGCTAGCGCTCTAGGAGGCCAAGGCAGGAGGATTGCTTGAGCTCAGGAACTCGACACCAGCCTAATTAAAAGTGAGACCCTGTCTCTACTAAAAATAGAAAAATTAGCCAGGTGTTGCGGTTTCACACCTATAGTCTCAGCTACTGGGGAGGCTGAGGAAGGAGGATCGCTTGAGCCTAGAAGTTGGAGGTTGCAGTGAGCTGTGATGATGTCACTGTACTCTACTCAGGGCAAGAGAGTGAGACAGGAAGGAAGGAAAGAAGAGAGGGAGGGAAGGACATGAACCATCCTCTTTGTTCCCTTCTTTCATTAAAAAAAAGTTTTAATTTTTAATATTTAGTCTTGTTTTTTATACCTTCTGGGTCTTACTTAGAAAGGCTTTTTCCACTTCAAAATTAAGAGTACATTTATGAATATCTTTTGTTTTTCTTCTAATACTTTTCTATTTTTAGATTTGGCTATTTAATCATCTGGAGTTAATTTTTATATATGATGTAAGGTGAAGAGTGGCTTTCTACCCTCCCCTGCCAATAGACTGCTAACTCCTCAACAGTACTTGTTGAATAGGTCAGCATATTCTTCACTGATTTAAAATGCTACTTTTATCGTGAACTAAATTCTGAAAAAGTAATATGGTAGGTTGTGGGCATGGTATCTTGTTCTAACAAATATTAAAACTTATTGTGAAGACATAATTAAAGCTATATGGTGTTGACATCAGTACGCAGATAGGTTTCTTTTCTTACGATCAGTTTCTCTCTTCTTAATCTAATACTGTGTCATCTTTAGAATATGATTTTACATGCAGATTTTTGCTTATGCATGAACTGTAAAATTAACTTATCTTCCAGAAAGTTTCTTCTGGAATTTTTGATTCAAAACAGACTACGGGCCGGGAGCAGTGGCTCACGCCTATAATCCTAGCACTCTGGGAGGCTGAGACGGGAGGATTGTTTGAGCTCAGGAGTTCGAAACCAGCCTGAGCAAGAGAGAGACCCTGTCTCTACTAAAAATAGAAAGATTAATCGGACAACTAAAAATATATAGAAAAAATTAGCTGCACATGGTGGCTCATGCCTGTAGTCCCAGCTACTTGGGAGGCTGAGGCAGAAGGATTGCTTGAGTCCACGAGTTTGAGATCGCTGTGAGCTATGACACCACAGCACTCTAGCCTGGGCAACACAGTGAGACTCTGTCTCAAAAAAAAAAAAAAACCAGACTACGGTTTGAGAGGGAGTGTAAGAGGTGGGCCTTAAACAATATTGAGTTTTTATATACCAGAATGTATGTGTCTTCTATCTATTTTTTAGTGTAATTATTGTTACATAACTTCGGCAAATTTACTGTTAGCATTATTCTTATGTGTCCTTCCTATTACAATATTCTAATACAGTACAATATTTTGTGTTAGGTCATTAAATATGAACTGTCCAATTTCAAATCAAAAGTTCAGTTTATTATATCTCAAACAAGAAGTAGTACAATTAATCAAACTATTGACAGTTTTGCCATCTTTACGGTAGCTTGTTTATGCCAGCATCGAAGAAGCCCAGAGAGTGAGTGGTGATGAAATTGCATAAGGCATTTTCCACAGCTTGTTGAGAATTGAATATTTTTCCTTGCAAGAAGTGGTCCAAAGCCTGCAAGAGGTGATAGTCAGTTGGTGCAAGGTCTAGTGAATACCATGGATGACAGAGAGTTTCCAACTCCACCTTCTGTAGTTTTAGCAGGGGTTTTTTTGGTGACGTGTGATCTTGAAAAGGATTGACGTGTCTCTACTGAGCAAGCTTGGCTGCTTATTCGCGAGCATCCTCATTTCATCCAATTGGTGGCAGTAGACATCCGTTGTCATCGACTGACTAGGTTTCATGAAGCTGTAGTGGATAATACCAGCACTGGAACAGCAACCAGACACCGTTAGCTTTTTCTGATGAATATTCAATTTTGGACTGTGTTTCAACACTTCATCTTTATCTAACCATTGTGCCGAATGCTTGCAGTTGTCAAAAAGCATCCATTTTCATCACACGTAACAACATGGTGTAGAGATGGTTCACCTTTCTGTTATTACAACAAAGAAAGGCAAGGTTCGAAAGGGTTTCTCTTCTGACACTCATTTAATTCACGTGGAACCCATCTATCCAGCTTCTTTCCCTTGCCCATTTGTTTCAAATGGTCGAATATTGTGGGAATAATAACCTCAGACTTTGCTGCTTAATTCACACATAGGTTGAGATGGATTCGCTTCCACTACTACTTTCAGCTCATCATTATCCACCTTCGTCTCAGGACACCCACATAGCTCATTTTCATGATTAAAATCACCAGAATAGAACTTCTCAAACCATGGATGTACTGTGCGTTCATTAGCCACATCCTTCCCAAATACTTCGTTGATATTTCGAGCTGTCAACAATGCATTGGTTCCACAATAGAACTCATATTCAGAAATAACACAAAGTTTAGACTTATCCATTGTTTCACAGAAATTGCTTTAAAAAAATTTTGAAAGATAATCACAAGCCAAAACATATGTTTGAAAGAATGAGGATATGCCTATAAAAAAAAATTTAAAACAAGAAGGTTCAAAGTGAATGAAATGTTCGAGATATCAACTGTCAAACTTAGTATTTAATAACCTAATATGTCAAGTTGGTATTCTTACTGATCTCTGATATTAGTCAATTATCTCTGATAATCATCATTTTTCAGTTAAATTTTGAAAATTTTCTATGTCCAGCGGTCCCCAACCTTTTTGGCACTAGGGACTGGTTTCGTGGAAGACAGTTTTTCCATGGATTGAACGTGGGGGTGTGGGGTATTTTTTTTTTTTTTTTTTTTGAGACAGAGTCTCACTGTGTTGCCCGGGCTAGAGTGCCATGGCATCATCCTGTCTCACAGCAACCTCAAACTCCTGGGCTCAAGCGATCCTCCTGCCTCAGCCTCCCGAGTAACTGGGACTACAGGCATGTGCCACCATGCCCAGCTAATTTTTTCTATATATTTTTAGTTGTCCGATTAATCTCTTTCTATTTTTAGTAGAGACGGGGTCTCGCTCTTGCTGAGGCTGGTTTCGAACTCCTGAGGTCAAACAATCCGCCCATCTCGGCCTCCCAGAGTGCTAGGATTACAGGCGTGAGCCACCGGCCCGGCCAGGGTGTGGGGTATTTTGAGGCAGGGGGAAGTGGTGCGGGCTCAGGCCCATTTCCTAGAAGGCCATGGACTGTACCTGGGCCATGGCCCAGGGGTTGGGGACCACAGATGTAGACCATTATGTTAATCTATAAATGGTAGTAATTTTGTTTCTTTCAGTATTTATACTCCCCTCCCCCAATGTCTTATTGCATGGTTAGGGTTGCTAAAACAGTGCTGTTTAATAGGAACAATAGTGTACTTGCTGCCCTTTTTTCTTTAGAGGGAGTACTTCTAATGTTTCACCATAAAAGTTTACTATTTATGGTAAATATTTGGTAGTTACTTCTTATTTGGTTGAAAAGTTATTTTTCTTTTCTTGTGTTTTTATCTTTTCAGTAAACTTTAAAGTCTTTATTTGGCCAGATTTATTTTACCCTCTTACATGGATGTTAGTTAGTATGACTGGTTATAGTAGTCTGGGTTCAAATGTTATTTTCTGTGTATACACATATAGATGCAAACATATTTTTTAAAAAGATGGTGGAATATTATCTTCTAGCACAGTAGAATTTTCTTCTAGTTCCTTTTAAGCTAAAATTCTGAGCCTTTATTAGGCTCACACAAGTAATAACTAATATATGTAAAGTTGAGAATTATAGTACTTCTCTAGATAATTAGTGCTAAATTAAGTGAAAGAGGATTTGAACTCTTAATTTCTTGGTAATTCTATGGTGAACTGTCATGAGTCCTTTTAAAGCAGTGGCAGGCAATACAGAATAAGGCCCATAGGTCAAATCCATACTGCAGTCTGTTCTGATAAATAAAATTTTATTGGAACATAAATGAAGTCAGACCCATAGATTTTCGTAGTATTTATTGTTCTTTTTTGCTGCGACAGCTGAGGTTAGTTACAATGGAGACCTGTGACTTACAAAGCTGAAATTACTTAGCATCTGGCCCATTACATAAAAGGTTTGCTGACTTCTGTTTGGTATTTCATAGTGGAAAAATCCTAGAGTTTGGAGTCTAATTTTGTCATTTTTATAACTCTAGGTGACTCTTTAGTCACCTAGAGTTAAGGTTGGTATAGCATAGTAGAAGAAGCCTAGATTTTGGAGTCATAGTGAAGTGGATTTAAATCCTTGCTTTGCCTTTTATTATCACTCTGGGTTGTTGTTTTCCTCTGATACCTGTTTTCTCATACTTTACACTCTTAATCCATGAAGTTGTTGAGAACATTAAATAATGTATGTACTGTATCTACCATGTAGCAAGGATGCAAGTGGTAGCAGTTATTTTACCATTATTAAAAGGTGAGCATTTTTGTGGCCACCCATTTTTAGTCTTGTGCTTTCAGAATGTAATTTTTTTGGTCTTTGTTTGAAGTTTTCTTTTTTTAGTGTTAAGGAATTTTTACCAGGAAAAAGATAAACAAGTATGTATTTGGTTTGGAGGGTTGTGTGTTATCTATTGCTGCATAATAAATTATCCCAGAATTTAGCAGCTTAGAACAGCCATCTCTGTGTCAGGAATTTAGAAGCATCTAGGTGGCTGTGGTTCGAAGTCTCTTATGAAACCCATGGTTCACATTTTGGCTGAGCCTGCAGTTATCTGAGGGCCTGACTAGAATGGAAAGATCCATTTCCTAGATGGCTCACTCAGAAGGCTATTGGCAGGAGGTGTTAGTTCTTAGTCTCTCCGTAGGGTTTCTAGAGTTCCTCAACACATGGTAGCTAGCCATGAGGGAACAAGGAAGAAACCACAACACTTTTTAAATATTCTGTTCTCTTGACATCACACCTTATTATTCCTTCACATTCTCGTTGGTCATAAGGGAGTTACCAAGTACAGCCTACACTTGAGGTGAGGAGAATTGAGGTATTTGTGGATATATTTTTAACTGCTGTCATCTGTATTCTGGTTACAAATTATTTACATTATTCTCATATACAAGTATAGTTATCCCTCCCAAGGCCTTCAAAAGTCTTACCCATTACCATGTTAGCTTAAGATCTAGAATATTATATTAATCAGGTATAGGTGTTGATGTAGCTCCTTCAGCATAGCTTTTTCCCCTTATGTATAGTTTTTTAAGTGTAGTTATTTAATACGAAATCCTGTGAACTAAAGATACAGGTTACAAACTCACTGCACACCAAATATAAAATGATGGAATAGGCATGGGAAAACCACCGTACACATTCTCAGGAGGCACACAGGAGTTACTGGTTCATATAGGTTAACAGTTATTTGATGAGCACTCAAGACATAGGAATAATTTTTTGTGGCTACTGACCCTGCCCTCTGGGTTCTTGGTTCCACCTTGTGAATCATCCATCCTTTCTCTCGAAAGTTAGCATTTGTTTGCTACTGAGTAGTTTTTTGGTCAGCTTGCTGCCAGTAAAATTTGCCGGGGGAGAGGGGGGCGGGAGGGGGAGAGCAGTCAAAAGGCCTCTTTTCATTGTGCATTGTCTCTGTTTCTTTTAGTACAAATTTGCTGTGTTTCTGTTTCCCTTTAAGACATTGTAGATCTTTTGTAAATCTTACTGGAATCCACATAATATCTTGAGTTTCTGTGAAGGGAAGAACACCTTTAAGTTTCTTAGAAGCTTTATTGTTTGAGAGGGTCTCTATGAGTCATACCCTTAAAATTTTTAGAGAGCCTTTCTTCAAGGCTCATTAGTGAGGCACCATCATTCTGAGTCCTGGGTCTTAACAAAAAATTTTAAAGCCAAATCCTTTGCTTTCCCTCTTAACATGTTTTCCTAACAATGCCCTAGATTTGATCTTTGCTCAGCAGCCATTTCTGGAGAGACTCAGTTTTCAAGATCATCAAATTTCTGCTCCTTCCTGAAGTTTCTTTCTCCACTTGCATTTTACTCTAAGCAGCAAGAGGAATCAGGTGCTATCTTCAACAGTTTGCCGGAAAATCACCTTAGTTAGGTCACTCAGTTAATTTCGTGCATTCTGTAACATTGTTGCTAAACTTTCTGCCACTATATGGTATCATTCACTTCACTTTAAGCCCTCACCTGCAGCCTTCTCAAAGTCCATCCATCTTTTGCCACTCCCTGGTCCTAGAGTTACTTCCACATTTTAAGTTTTTGTAACAGCAATATCCCACTTCAGGTACCAACATCTATGTTGGTTATTTACTGATGCAAAACAAATTACTCAAAGACTTAACAGCTTTAAATAAAAAACATTTATTATCTGGCAGTTACTGTGGGCCAGGAATTTGAAATCAAGATGTCAGCCCAGGCATCTTAAGGTTGACTGAATTTGGAGGATCAGCTTCCAAGATGGCTTACTCTCATGGCTGGTGGCCTCAGTTCTTGGCCACATGGTTCTTTCCATAAGATTGGGTGGTTTTCCTCACAACATGGCAGCTAGCTTCCTCTGAGTGATCCAAGAGAAGGCAAGGAAGAACCCATAGTGCTTTTAAGTCCCACCTAATATAAATGTTACATACCTTCATTTCTAGTATATTCTATTCATTACTGCTGAGTCACTAAGTATAGCCCATATTTAAGGGAAGGGGAAATAGACTTTGCCTTTTGAAGGGAAGAATTCGTAGACATTTTTTTAAATCATCACAGTGGTGTATTTTGAAGTGACTTTTTTCATTTTTCAATATTAACAAATGTCCAAATGCTGACTGAGCATGTAGCTTTCAAATTTGTTGCTTGAAACCTAAATAATATACATTTTGCACTTTATTATAGCATATGTGTCAGTGATTTTCTTTTGAGACATCCCACAGTTTATACCTCTAAGGATATTGTTAATTTTTAGTATCAGATTTTTAATTTACCATAGTTATTCATTTATTTTTGTCAACAAATATTTGAGTGTTTTCTGTATATTTTGGCATGCTGTTGGTCCTGAGAATACAAAGATTACAAGTTAATACAGGGTCTCTTTTAACAAGGAGCTCACAGTCTAAAAGAGAGATAGGTGTATAAAGTATTGTGATAAGTAAAATATATTAGGCATAGTGGCAGCACAGAGAAGAGAATGAATAACTGTTTGGCCTGGGTAAAGAAGACATAACTAAGAGAGAGCATAGTCCAAAGCCATGGAAATATCCATCAGCTTGTTATATTCATAGAATTGCAAGTAGCTTAATATTGCTAGAGTAACTCTTGTGTTTTGCCATCCTTAAATGTTTACGTGCATACCCAACCTGGTTTCAAAAAAAATTTTTGAGGCGGTTACGTTGTTTGCTGTCTAATGTGAAACCATTCAAAGGCTAGGTACATATAGGTACCTTTACATGCATACCACGCAATATTTTTTATAGGAGTTTGGGAATATTAAATAGTAGTAGTTGGTAATTACTAATCTGATTAACATGCTTATAATTTCATTCATTAACACTTACTCCCTACAGCAAACATGTCTGATAAAGAGCTAAAGAAGCTACGTAATAAACAAAGAAGAGCGCAAAAGAAAGCCCAGTTAGAAGAGGAGAAAAAAAATGCAGAAAAAGAAAAACAGCAGAGAAATCAGAAAAAGAAGAAGGATGATGATGATGAGGAAATTGGAGGTCCAAAAGAAGAACTTATCCCTGAGAAACTGGCCAAGGTAATTAATAGTGTTTAGCACAATTAAGTGAAATTTCATGAGCAGCCATAGTCATTTTTATACTGTCTTATTTGACCCATGTGATTATAGATTTTAGAGCCAAAAATTTTAATTTTTAGTCTTCTTTTTAAAATATTTTGTTTCTGATTATTTCATGTTTAAAACTTACAGTAATAATCCTTGTTGAGAGTCATCCACTGTGGTATAGTGGAAAAAATTTTGGCTTTTGAGTCATTCTGATCTGGGTCCAGACACCAGCTCTTATACTTTCACCATGTACCTGCCCTTGGACACTTTGTCTAACCTCTCTGATGGTTTTTTCATCTATAAAATGGGACTAAGAAAATCCTTACTAGGACTAGACAAATTATATGTGTGAAACATCTATTGTCTATTACAAGTGATAACATGCAAACTTTTATATCTTGGCTAAATTGAGTTTGTTATAAACTGAAAACTATATGTGTATCTCTCACTAGGTTGTCAGTTTACATTATTTCTTACTGGCCCTTCCCATTTAAACCTATTACCTTAAAAATCCTTAAATATTTTCCCCAAGTCAAAATCTGACCTGCTGTTTTTAACCAATAAACTGAAACCACATGAACCATTTTGATTAATAATATTCCTGTGCCCTTTCTTATGACCCTTAAAATCTTCCTAGTCAGTATGAAAATAATTGCATGGACCAAAGGTGGCATGCATCTGTAGTCCCAGCTACTTTGGAGGCTGAGGTGGGAGGAATACCTGAATTTAGGAGTTCAGCCTGGGCAACATAGCGAGACCACCATCTCTATATAAAATAATAATTACATAATTTATTACACAAAAGCAATATAGTAAGCACATTGCCCTTGATTTTAATTTTAGTCTCATTAGTATGTAAAAATTCAAAATCATTTCCTTGATTGTTTTATAACTAAGGAGAATTATGATACCAAACAAATAAAGAGTTGGAGAATATGTTTAGAATTATACCAGAGCAGGTGGACAGTAACATTTCATAGACATAGTAATATTGCTGTGAGAAATGTAGGAACATCTAGTTTGGATTTCACAAGGGTATATTGACATATGTTCACAAATAATTGCATACCTGCTAGGAACAAACATAGTATCTTTTTATTGTTGAGTTTATTGGAAGATTACAAAGGGAAGTGAAAAAGCACAGAAAATTGACCTGTTAGACTTCTTGGAGAATTGTGAAGTCATTCAGGGCATAACATCAACTTAGCCCTTCCATCTTTATGCCTCAGCTTCATTTGTTATTGCTACTTTTATCACCGTCACTGCCTGCCTTCCAGCATTGCTTTTTCTACTGTCTTTTCCCTTTATCCCATGACTTTTCCTTAGTGACTTTTTTCTTTGTAACTCTTCATGTCTTCATATAGTT